TTAACGAAATTTTTGATGAACGAATACTCCAAAGGATTTCAAAGCGAGCAATGGTAACGTTGTAGAGGAAAAAAAAAAAAAATTATTCTCTCAGCGCGCGAGACTTGTGTATCGGTAAAATTCTAAAGAGACAGGCTCATTTTAAAAAATCATTTTGTATATTGCTGGTTTTTGAACTAACTTTTATGGTTTTTTAGAGTGAGAAAGATAACGTGTAGTTAGCCGAATCTGAACCTTCAGATTCTCTTTTTTGTTATAACTCTTTTTTTTTTTTTTTTGTAATTTTTTAAATTTAAATTTTCATTTGAATGTTCTTTTCTTTCCTGTAACCGTTTTTTTTCTCCCGACATTAAATTACTCTCATAAAATTTTCCTCCCGATTTTTCGACGATAAAATTAGTTTAAAAAAAGGGGGGTACGGGAGGAAATATAGTAATCAATAAATAATATATATAATCAGTAAAATATAGTGAAATCCTCAGAACATATTTTTGACAACAATTCTAACGGGATTATAATTTCATTCCTGTTTCTTGCTCCCGTTTTATAAATAAATTTTGTAAAGTTCTCACATATCGATACTAATCAAAAACATTGTTTTATTGTTTGTATTGAGTCATAATATTTCTGAACGGCTTGCGCAATTGTAGTTGGATTATGATAATATTTAATTAACTGTTTAATTAATTTACAGAATATACGGTGCATTTGTCTAAAATTGTAAGAAGGAATGAAAAGAAAAAAAGAAAAATTTACGAAACATTTCCTTTGTCTGTTGCCAAAGGTAACGCAGGGATTAAAAAACAATACGTGTGAAATGTCTGTGGTTACGAATTTCGTGGCAATCAGCCGACTCTCAGCCCTCCGGTGAGTTCACGGTAATTAGAGTTGTACCCTGAATTTAGAAACTTCGTTGAGTAAAACGCGGTAAGAAGAACTAAAAAATCTGACTATCCACATGACATCCTTGTACGGCCTATCAAATAATACACATGTTTTACTGCATTTCGTTTAACCTTATTTCCTTGAATTAGTCTAACTTAATTAAGCGATGCCATTCGGCAAGCTGAAAATGACATCAAATATTTCAAATTTTTGAAATTAATTATCCCAGTGAACTTTTGTCGTAACGGGAATCTAATTTCTTGTATTTTTATTCTTTCATGACAAGCATAAAACTTTCCAAAATACAAATATAAGAGCCTGAGACCGCATTAAAATTTATATTTAGTTATTTGTCCAAAATTAATTTTATTTTTAAATTTGACGTTGCCATAACATGAAAATTGTCTTAATTTAAAACACTTCTGTAATATATATATATATATATACAGATTGAGTTCAAAAGGAATATAAAAATCATATATTTGTTATTAATACATAAATTGCTAACAAAATTATTAAACTTGATTGGAACCAGTTGGCAGTAGACCTTTAAATTCTTAAACACATTCCCTCTTCAAAGATACGTTTGCTCCATTTTGCCTCTCTCTGCAGCATGTTACGTCACGTCTCTGAAGTAACAACAGTGCGAAATCTTTTGCTCAGTCGCTGCTCAGGATTAAAAAGCAAAGACTTTCCAAGCTTATAAATACGACTGCAATTACTACGCATTACATTTTTTTCGTCTGCTTTCTGCTTAGAACTGCTTCCTAAGCTTCTTTTTCTGTTATCCAAACTGTAAACTGCGTATATAGAATGTGGGACGTGTTTAGCATCCCTAATGTTGTACCAATTTAAGCGAATATATAAATTTTAATCCAAATATTCAACAGCTGTGCAAGAAATGGCAGATTCATTAACGTGCGGAGCACATTGATTTAATTTTTACTTAATAAGATAAATCTCTTAACAACTTTGAATTATTAAAAATAAATATAACTTTTCTCCCATTCACTTAATTGATTAATAACAACATAGAACTAAATGAATTTTAATTAACTCTTTGTTGCATCATTTCTACTCTAATAGACGAAAGTTTAAACTTCTTTAATCTTCTGTAAATGCCTTAACAGAGTCCATTCCTGTGTTTATTCATTCTATGTTATTAGAACTTTCAACTGTCGATCTTGATGGCGGTAATATCATACACTAAGTTAACATTTGCTAGTGGAAAATTGGCTGCTACTTTTTTTCTGTTTTCCAAGTTTAGTAACTAATTTCTCATAGTAACATTATATTAATCTTTGCTTACATTCTGTACTTAACCATTTTTTATTCATAATTAGCAATTTTAGACATTTTATTTTTAAATACCAGTTTGAGAAAATTGTGGAGTGGGTGAATAAAGATCTACTGAAAAGAGTGAATTGAAACCCAAATGGACTGCTTATCAAGCCAAAGCACCACTGGAAATGTTTATGTTTGGCAAGAAATTTCTAGAACATTTAACATTTGAATCCAATATGTACAGGTTACAAAATGGTAGCAAAATAAATTCAATCCCAATCCACGAAGTGAAGGTATTTTGGGGGATTTGCATGTACATGTCAGTTGTAGATTTACCATTTAGAAGACGGCAATGATCACTGCAAACAAGGCAGGAAATGATTTCAAATGCATGACCCGTTAATCGTTGGGAAGAGATTTGTGGGCCATGGTACGTATTTTTTTTTTTTTTGCAATGCTGTCTACTGTAAGTGACAACTGTCAGCAATTAAATTTAAAAAAAACGAATTTGGATAATTAAAATCGAAAAACAACAGGTTTGTTTTTTTTTTTTTTTTTTTGTTTTTTTAACTGTGTCTTAATTAATTTTTTTACTCTTTTCGTCCAAAGGATTTGAATCCCGAAGGACTATTAGTTTCGTTTTTGGCATTTTGCGTCGGACTCATAATGTCGGTTCACTTTTCAAACTGTGTTGCCACAAAATGTTAGAGTCCTGCATTATATATATTTGAAGAAATTAAATAATGAAAAATCTGCATAAATGTATGTATATTTCTCGTATTGTCATATAAAACAACGGTACATAGAGTCATCGAATTTTTGAATAACGTAATCCTCCAACGAATATGAGCATGTGGAAGACCAAATTTGAAATTGAAATTTGTTTTTATGATCGATTTCCTATTTTTTTAAAACTTTGACGAATTTTTGATTAACAAACTCAAGGATTTCAAAGCGAGCAATGGCAACGTTGTGCAGAAAAACATTTTTATCTCCAACGCGTGAGTCTCTGTATCGGAAATTCTAAAGATATGCTCGTTTTAAAACTATTTGCGATTTTGCTGTTGCACTGGATCTTATGTTTTAAGTGCGAGGAACATGATATTTAATAAAGAAAGGTAACATACAAAATGTTAAAAAACGCCCCTTTGGACATAATTTAAAATCTGAAACATTTCAGATTTTTTTTTTTTTTTTTTTAAAATTAATTATTCTAAGGTTTTTTATTTTAGTAGGTAGGAAAAAAAACAAACATTTTCGTTTAACTTCTCTAGATTATTTGTATGCAACAAAGGGTTAACTATTGCTGTGCCTCTCACATACATCCAGAATAAGTCTGGCAACAACTGTAGTAGAAAAAATTGTACATCGCTTGAATGGCAACAGAGCATGATATTCCATACATTTTTATTTTTGTTTTGATTTGAGTCAGTTCTTGCGATGCGATTGCGTTATCAAACTGAGTGTGGGTGTGAATGAAATGGAATCTACTGTGGATATTAGTGATATTTATCAAATCGACTTCGTTTTAGAAGATAAGGACTATTATGTTTAAGTTTACGGTATTTAAATTACAAAACTTTTCTCAAGTTTAGAAAAGTTACGCTGGGTTTATTCTCGTTGTTCATATAAGAGAGATTTATGTTATTGTAGTTATATATAATTTGCAAATATAAATATGATGAGAATTGTATTAAATACATTCTCAAAAAAATCTGGAATGATATTTAAATTTGTAGATGTTGAGTATACATAGTATGTCGGAGCCAGGAGTGAAAAGTACGAATATTTAGCTCACGACATAGCAACTATCTCGCTATTAAATAATGAAAAATTAGTTTCTGTGCATGCTTGTATGTTTTTCGAATTGTGGAAAAAATTTTGCGGGTCGTATTTCCACAATTCGAACCAAGCGATTTAACAGGAACAGACGCAATTCTGAAGAATATATTTTCGACTTTTTGATCTGATTGATTTAAATAAAAGTGAACTTAAATCAAGAGATGTCTAATTAGAAAATTTTTGTGAAATAGCAATGCATTAAAATCATTATATTTTTTCTCGGTTTTATGAAAAATTTTACGACGAAAAACGACGGCACCTAGAGCCGCCAAATTTTTTCAAATTTGTTTTTAATTTATTTAATATTTTGTACGAGTTTAATAAATTTTCAATTAACAAACTCAGAGACTTCAAAAAGCACGAGCAGTGGCAACACTGTTCGAAATAAAACATGTTTATATCCGGGCCGTCACACTGTTGCAATTCGGCAAAACGAAACATATTTATCTTTCGGTTTTAACAGCATACTCAACTGTTTAAAAGCAATGTGTTTCCACTGCTTGAAATAAAATACTTTTGTCTTCTATGCGTTAGCGTTTAGCCATTTTAATAAAACGTAACGTATTTAACGTTCAAATTTAATCTGCCTGTTACTGATTTAAAAACCAAGCGATTTAACAGGAACAAACTCAATTCTGAAGAATATATTTTCGACTTTTTAACCTGATTGATTTAAATAAAAGTGAACTTAAATCAGGAGATGTCTAATCAGAAAATTTGTATGAAATAGCAATGCATTAAAATCATTATATTTTTTCTGGGTTTTATGATAACTAATTTAGACGACTAGCAAGCCACGCGTTTAGTATTATAAAAGTTATAAAACAACTGGTAGTAATATATTTTAAAAGAAATCCCTTCGAAAGGCACGAGTATATAAGGTTGTCCGCAGATTATTTTAATTTATAAAAGTAGCCCTCAGTTGTAACATGTTTGAGAGTTGCTGGAATAAACAGTAAGCAGAAGCTGCAGTTAGATATTTGGCTTACCTTTAAAGTTGTATCCACAATGTATGCGAGACTATTCGTACTCCGCTTACCCCGTCACATCGACGCTACTTCGCAAAATGAAGTTCTGGATCTCCCGTCACAGACTAAGTTTGGGCGGCTATTGCGTCATTTACTTCGGCAACCACATGACTAGCGTAATCGTCACCTTTCTCACGTAGTTTTTTTCTTGTGGATGTTGTTCTTAGGTGAAGTCAACCTCCTCCCCCCCCCTCGGTGACACACCCTTTCTTCAGAAATAAACGAAACAATTACGTCACCTGATTCTCGTGGAGTAGGAAAAAGCATCAATGGAAAAGTCAAGGGTTGTGAGATGTTTAGAATCCCAATCCTTCTTGGGAGATGTTTTAAACTGGCTGATTTCTCAGAAGTCCCCACAGTTTATGTCAATTGGGTCACCACACTGAATACCACGGAGGCTTTTTATGGAGATTGTGTTTTTCAGGTCCAATATATTGGATTCAGATACAAAGCAGTACTACAAATAGTACTTCGCAGAATTTTGGGAAAAAAATCGCTTTTAGAATGGAGTACGCTAAGCTATGAAAATACATGTGTTATAAATAGCAGCAAAAGGATCTAGATGACAAAAACACGAAATGATAAGAAGGTTGATGGATGACTTGTCTTGTAGAAACAAGGATAATAATTTAGTTAAAAAAAGAATCACGCGGAAGATGACGAAATTGTAGGAAACGTATGTACGTATCTACCATATTCTATAACGAATTTAGGAAAAATGCGATAAAATGCATAATAAATAATTAAGTTAATATTTAAACAATTAAGTTAATTTGAGGGAGAGTCATAAGGAGGATGACACAGGATCATTCGCAGGAAACATACGTGAATATTTGCCATATCCCATAAGAAATTTAGGAAAAATACAATAAAATTTATAATAAAAAAATTTTAATTCGAAAGTTTTCAGATTTTACATTACGTTTTTTTTTTAACCTTTTGTGTGTTACCTTTATTTATTAAATAAGGAAAGAGGAAGAAAAGAAAGAAAAATACGTTGCTAATAAATTAAAAAGTTAGCCAAGTGAATTATTTTTGGCGCAAACTGAAAAAAAATGCTCCATAAATTTCCACCAAATTTTACAAAATTTAATATTTAGGCATAATTTGAGCCATAGTATCAAAATATGGAAAAACAATAGGCATAATTTGAGCCAAAGTATCAAAATATGGAAAAAATAGGCATAATTTGAGCCATAGTATCAAAATATGGAAAAAAAATGGCATGTCATATCAGTAAAAGTCCGATTTTGTGTCAAAATACCTATATGAGAACAACGCTATATATAAATCTAATACATATCCTAAGTCGCGCTTTCGAGACACGAAAAACGCTAGATGAATTTCGTCAATCGATCCAGTAAAACGGGATGTATAAAACTGATGCCCCCTTTTTTTGCGCAGTGTACATATTTTTTGCTGCACTTCATTTAAACTTATTTCATCTAATTATTCTAACTTAATTAACGGATCCTTCGAGGCAAGTTAAAATGACATAAAATATTGCAAATTTTGAAATTAAATATCCAGGCCAGTTTTTGTCGTACGGGAGTCAAACTTCTTGCATATCTATTTTTTCATAACGAGTATAAAACTTCCCCAAATATAAGTATAGGAACAGGAAGACCGCATTGAAAGTTATATTTCGTTATTTGCCCAAAACTATTTTTTTAAAAATTTAACGTTTCCAAAATATGAATATATTCTTCATTTCAAACACTTCTGTAATTGGATGCATTATGATTGCGACCAAAGATTGCGAAACTTAAGGCCGGATGTGAAGTTTTAAGCTGAGCGAAAGAGATGCATGTCGTACGTACGGATATACCGATGAAAAAGTATATCCTCTAGTTCAAAAGTAAAGAGATCGAGTCAGTGTACTTCAAAGAAAATTAGTCAAGGTCGAGATCGAGTCAGTGTACTTCAAAGAAAATTAGGCAAGGTCCGTGGATGCAGTGTTTTGATTTTTCTGTGTATTGATTTCAATAAGTATATGAAATTAAAATTCCTTTACTGATAGTGCTCCCCTTTATAAGTTAAAAAGCATCAATTGTTTGATTTTTAGCGCGTTATAAAATGTTTTCATCTTTTTCAAAATTTACATAATTCAAAAAGCGAAGTAAATTTTTGGAATTCCTCCCTCCCCCCTTGGGATCGAAAAGGAAAAGTTTAACCTCAGTTTTGTTCAAAATGGCTTTAACCGTGATTTTTCCGTTCCTGAAAAAAAAAAAAAAAAAAAAAAAAAAAAAAAAAAAATTGTTAATGAAAACAAAGAATTTACTAATATTTTCATTAAAAAGGTTTTGCTAATAATGTATACTTAGAATTTTCGATTTCTAAATTAAATAATTTATTTTTATAGTTTGTGGGGATTTATTATTTATTTTGATAACCAGTTAAAGTTATGCTTTCTTTCCTAAGCTTCATTCTTAATTGTCAATGCAGAATATTTAAATTTGAAGGAATGCAAATTATACCACTAGAAGAAGAGGTTTAAATACCCGAGTTTAGAAAGGAAAGTTAGAAAGAGGGCAAGCACTGTACCTTTGTAACGTGAGCTTCTGGTGCATAATTTGCTGGTTACGTGGCGTAATTGCTATTCTTTCTGCATAGACTCGACGCGGGTTTTTAGATAACAGGATATCTGAGCCCTGGGAAAATTCCACTGTTTGTATATCTTTAAGTTTAGTCTTGTTAGTTGAGTTATGCTCGAGCGAGGGCGTATTTGTAGCGTCAAGTCGACGCATTGTGAATCTTTAAACCCTTCTCCTGTCTGGTTCCTGCACTTAATTCAGCTTTCACACTAAAAGCTTAACTGGATAATACAAGCTATTGATAATGTTTTAATGTTCTTTTTTATTTTTAAGTAATGTATTTTTTGATTTTAACAAGTTTTAAATGGAAACAAGATCTCAATCCTGGAGGTCCCAATCTTATAATGCTTTAATATTTTTTCGGTAAATAAAGATACGTTCACATTTGTGGTCTTTGATGGAACAAAAAACTATTTCGTTGATAGATATTTACAATTCTTTAAGAAACGCTGCAGTTAAATAACCTTTCTGGAAAAAAATAAATTAATTAAATAAATAAATAAATAAAAAATAGCCTTATTTCAAAAATTTTTGAAAGGAGAAGCGAGTGTGTTGACATAGATAGTTGAAATCTAGTAAAAGATAAATTTCTAACATATTTTTCCAGTTCTGGCAACATGCTAACTTTGATGATTTGCCTCAGTTATTTACAGTAAATTTAAAGACATAGATTTAAAGACATAGTAAAGTTAAAGCCAAAGATGCTCACTCAAGGTTTACCAGAAGAATATCATATGTTATTATCGGTCCAAAACATAACAAGTCACCCTTCCATCCACTCAGAGATTCCACTGTCCGTAGTCGCCGCTGCACACACGATCTTCTGCGCCTTCATGTCCATCTGGCAAGCTCGCTAAGACGACTTAGATACCGGTCGACACACCAAACTCCATCTTTCCTGTGGTCTCCACCAAGAGGTTCAAAACAGATTTCTATCTCTAACAAGCTTTTACAAATCCCGTCTACTTCAGCAGGTTCTGCTATCAAAAAGTCAAATGCGCCTGCGATGTCTCAACTTCTTCAGCAGCCGTCTCACATTACATCCACGATTGTCCAATCATTTCTCCCATCAGACGCTTAGCTCCAGCGATCACATAGCCTCAAAGACCTTCTTCGGGATTTCTAAGGACAGCGGGGTGTCAGAACCATCATAGAATACACCTATTCTAAGAGAAACATAATCATAGCAGATAACCAGGTCTAGGCACCTGATGAAATGTAAAGGCAGCAATCTTCCCTTCATGTATATATGTAAATATCTCTAAAACTAACAACCACATTTGCTAATTTTGTACTAACATATCCAAAACATTGTTAGTTGGAACACCCAACAAAAGTAATACACTAATGTTAAATCTGTTTATTAATAATAGGGTTGAAAAGATAAACAACCAAAAAAGATTGCTGGTGCAACGATCAGGATGACATGACTGACCTGTAGTACCCATTGAGAGGTGAAGCAGGTAGAATAATAATAAATGTAACAGAACTATTTAACTGTAACCGAACTGTTCTATTGAACGCCATCTAGTGGCGAAGAGGAAAAACGGCAGTCGGCTAGCCGCGATGATGATAGGTTACTATGTACTAGATGTTACCGTTATTTTAATGTTTGGTGTTCCATTTGGTATATGTTTCATTTTTATTTTTTTTTTTTTTTTGTTTTTTTTTTTTTTTGTTTTTTTTTTTTTTTTTTTTTTTTTTTTTTTTTTTTTTTTTTTTTTTTTGTTTTTTTTTTTTTTTTTTTTTTTTTTTTTTTTTTTTTTTTTATTTTTTTTTTTTTTTTTTTTTTTTTTTTTTTTTTTTTTTTTTTTTTTTTTTTTTTGTTTTTTTTTTTTTTTTTTTTTTTTTTTTTTTTTTTTTTTTTTTTTTTTTTTTTTTTTTTTTTTTTTTTTTTTTTTTTTTTATATATTTTTTTTTTTTTTTTTTGTTTGTAACCGTTCCTGTGTGCTCTGTTTATAAATCGTTTTAGAGCTAGCCGGCATTGGTGTCTATTGAGGAGCGGCTACATCACATAAATAAATAAATTCTCATCAGAACTGGATTAACCTATCACTAAAATTATTCCCAACTTCAAGCTCATCTGAAGAACCACAAAGCACGAATAATGTGCCCTGTTTTTCTGTTCTCAGGCAAAAAATTCTCATCCCTATTTTAATTATCCAAGATATCCTACTCCAAGACCATTTTATCCTAGGTCTTATTTGCGTCAAAAAACAGCACCACAATTGAGATAACTAAATTCCCAATATCCCGCGGTAAATTATCAAAATCAAATTTCATCCAAAAAATGACAACATTTCAAGTTAAGCTAGGGAACAATAACTTTCCTGCAATTATTGATACAAGTAGTCAAGTTAATATAATTTCTGAGAACACTTTAAGTTGTAATAATATTGAAACCACTGAAAATGAAACGTCAAAAAAAAAAAAAAAAAAAAAAAAAAAAAAAAAAAAAAAAAAAAAAAAAAAAAAAAATTAGTGTCCTAATCTGGAGGTATTTCTGTTATTATATAAA